AAAGAGTGTTTATCGGGAAGCTTAAAGTATGGTCATTCTGCTCTGAATTACACCTGTAAACGTACCAGTGTTTTCTTCTCTAAACTTGTTCTGTATGTTCTAAATAAGGTGTGCTCGCTTCTCTCACCAGTACCAGTTTCTGCTGTTGTCAGGGCTCGAGGACTAGTGTAACTGTGGGAAGCAGTTCTGGATCCTGACCTGATCTGTGCAGCATGAACAGAGTTATTTATAACGTTTGTTTCACAAATGCAAATCCTGAAGTGTCAGTGATGTTTGGGCTGTGAGGTATCTGATTTGACTTTTTGTGCGCCATTGTCAGGACTCTATAAAAGAAGAGAATAGCGATTTTACCTGCAGGGAGAGCAGATTTTGGGGAGGAATTCCTGAGAGAAGGCAAAGACTTGAAAACCTCCCCCCCCAATGCATTTTTGTAAAATTATTTTTCAGAGTACAGCGGCTAAATGACTATTTTTAAAAAGTTGAGGAATAACTTTCCCAACCTCTGAGCCCTGCCATACCCTCTTCAGTTGGGGACTTTATCATGGGAGGGGGGTATTTTGGCTCTGATCTGGCATTTAATCAGGTGCTTAACTCTAAGCAAGTTAGTAATTCTGTTGACTTTGATCTCCCTTTTTCAGGTTTATACCGGAACTTTCTGGCTTCGGTGATTTTCACCTAAAGTAGGCCTCAGTGTTACTGTTAAAGCTTCTTGAGGTATAATCAGTTTTGACATCAGTAGAAAAAATTCCAACTGATTGCAGCATAGAGTGGAGTGGGCCCACTACAGTGATCCTGGACTTATTACAGTAACTCTGGCGTAAATGATTTTGGCTATCCCTGAAGAGATACAGATAACTCTGTTCGATTTCATGTTTTCTGTAATTCTCAAGAAAAAAAATTGCACTTTAGGTAAAACAGAACGTTCATCTTCCAGCTATTTTTTTGACTCTCAGGACTTTGCTACAGTATTTAGTTGCGCAAAATATCTCAGTGCTTTATTATCTAATCTAAATATATGTGATATAATGCCCATTGTACTTTCACAATTTTAAGAAAGTTCTGGGTTAGAGCATTCCTGGGTTGCTGGAAAGAATTTGAGTTTTAAAGATGGATGAGCTAGTAAGAATTATCATTGCTTCCATGTCAACTTGCAACAATGAAAATGGTTAAAAACGTTATCACTGCTAGCAAACTCTTAGTTTGTAAACTGCATTTGATTTGTGCTAGTGGACAATATAGCTAGAGACAGAGAAAGGAGAATTACAGAAAAAAATGAATTTACAGGGCTTACTATCAATGGTTTACAGAAAGACTGTTACCTTTTTACAATACCTTGTGACGATCTTATAATTTGAGTTGCCTGGAACTATTTATAGTTAGGTGTATTTCAGATAGCCATAATAAGGTCGGCAGGGTGGGAAGAGGCAGCCCATTATGGCCTGGGAGTTGTTTATCACTTGCAGAGCACTTGCAACTCCTACTGAAATCGATAGGAATTGGGGCTGGTCAGCTTCTTTCAGGATTTGAAGGCACAGCAGCAATTAGACGGCTCTACAGCTATATCAGGCAGCTGAATGCAGAGAGCAGAGTGAGGAAAGTAAAGCTGGGAGGGAAGGAAAACGCAGAAAGAGAAAGGAAATACGATACCCCAGGGGAGAGACAGGGCACAAATAATGCAAGCAAGGAAGGAAAAGGGGAGAGCAAGGAGTACAGTTTTGAAGGGAGGAGGGAGAAAGGATGGAAGACTACCCCAGAGGAAAATAGACAAACAAAGAAAAACAGGCACATAAAAAGAAGAGAGTGAATGAAACAAAAGAAAAAACTAATTCTTGGCCAAAAACCGCTTCTCTTGTCAGTAACAGCTAAGTATTTCAGTTTCTGGAAAAGCGATTTCAGACGTGAGGGAGAAAAAATGCATGGAGATCAACCAAGTGACCTGAGGTGGGAAAAGTCGTAGGCAGGAAATACAGAATTAAAGACTGAAAGAGCGAGGAGGGAAATAAAAAGATAAAGAAACAAGAAGGCTAAGTCTGACCATGCTATCTATTTACTAGATTCAGCCCAGTCCTCTACCACAGCTGGGTCTGTGCGTTCTTGTACTTTTCTTCCCTGGACTAATAGACCTTAGAGAGAGATTA